AACTTGTAGCCAATCAGTAGTAAGGGGCGTGTCTACTCATGATGTGGAGGAGAGAGCGTTCAGTGCACAGGACAGACATTAGCCAAGCCGAGCACAGAAAGATAGAGATGGCGGATAAAAAACAAAAGAGGAAACCGTATGCAGAACAAAAGAAGGCTTACGATAAGGCAAGAAGTAGGACCCGTGTAAATATCGGATCAGCTTTCCAGCGCTGGAGAGAACTCAAGGAGCGGAGGCCTGCGATCGGACGCCGAGGTTGCTTTGTTTCTTCTCGATAGGTGAGTAACACCGTGTCTACACCGGACGCGCCACGCCGCAACAGCTAAAGTCTGTCTATAGTGGATGCGACAAAGCGACCTTTGAAAATTATTTGAAATTTGTGTCAATACGTCATAAATAGAACGCAGCAGCAGTTTTCTGTCGGAGATTTGTCGTGTCGTGCCACGCCGCATCCAGTGTAGACAGCATCACTGATTATAATGAGTTCTATAGTATTTTGTCACACCGCACCGCTCACGTCCGGTGTAGACACGGTATAACATTGGTTTTGCTTTGTTTCACAGAACTAAACGTTGCCTGGGTTGCGTACGTATGTGTGGGGCGGAGCTATCAAAATAGGTGCTAGACCCTTTTGGGGTAGGGGCGTGTTTGTTTTGGTGAGTTGAAAAAAAAAAAAACATTGGCTACCAGAAATCACTTACCCCACCTTTAATCTATCAAAGAAGAAGAAAAGGATCACTAGAGCTCAGTGAGACTGAAGTAGCATCAATCCAAGCAGTGTGTTTACTTAAATCTCTATATGAGAGGAAGTTAAAGAGGAAGCATTAAAAATGTAATGTCGTTTAACCTCACGCATCCTGTTTAACCTCTGCTGAGTGTCTGTGTGTGAGAGACAATTTATGACTGCTGACACTTGAAACATCAGTAAGACTTACGGTTGTCCATCCTTGTTTGAGGTTGGGTGGAGGCTTTGGCAGCCTGGAGGTTCTTGTCGTCGTAGAAGTTGTCCATGTAGTCTTGGCCTTGGAAATGAGAGTCAATGGGATACTCATACTCTTCTTGGTCCTTCACCTTCATTGCAGCTTCCTCCTCTTCAGCTTCCTCTACCTCAGCTGCCTCTTTATCATTGCCTTCCTCCTCGTCCTCTTCTTCTTCTTCCTCTGCTTCTTCCTCTACTACCTCTTCCTCTTCCTCCTCCATATCGTCTTCCTCGATGTCTGTCTCAAGAGAGGGACTGGGAGTGGGTGGCGTCCTTTTCACACTGATCAAGTGGGAAGGATTTTAAAGTTATTTATTTATTTTTTTACATATTTTGTCAGTTGTAAATCAAGGTGCAACCAGGGTAGTCTGATTCTCAAAGGAATGATAATCATCTTATAAGATGATTCTTTTAGTGAATCAAACACACAATGCATCCAGTGTTGTCTGATTCATGTATAAATTACTCTTCTGAGCTGTTTCTATTTAGTGTATCAAACATTCAACGCAGCCAGTGTAGTCTGATTCTCGATCAAATTATTCATATGAGCAGGTTCTTTTTAATAAATAAAAAACATACAGGCAACAAATTAATCAAAAACATACAGACCACCAGTGTAGTCTGATTCCAGAACAAGTGACTTTTATGAGGTGATTCTTTTTAGTGAATCAAACGCATACAGTGAAACCAGTGTAGTCTGATTCTCAAACAAATGACTCTTATGAAGCGGTTCTTTTTAGTGAATCAAACAAACAGCACAACCAGTGTAGTCTGATTCCTAAACAAGTGACTTGGCTCTTTTACATACAGCGCAATCAGTATGAACTGATTAACAAATAAGTGACTTATATGAGTTGGTTCTTTTTAGTGAATTAAACACATACAGTGCAATCAGTGTAGTAATTCCCGAACTAATGATTAATTTAAGCTCATTCTTTTCGTGAATCACATACAGTGCAAACAGTACAATATGATTTTTTAACTTATATGAGTACATATATTGTAATCAGTGTAAACCGATTCCTCAAAAAAAGATTCTAAAGAGTCAGTCCTTTTTAGTGAATCAAACACATACATATAGTCTGATTCCTGAACAAACAACAATTATGAGTCGATTCTTTTTAGTGAATCAAATATACATCCAAACCTGATTCTTGAACAAGTGACTCATAGCAGTCGGCTCTTTTTAGTGAATCAAAAACATAATTTGATTACTGAACAAATGACTCTAATAAGTCCCAAACGAATGACTCATATGAGCTGACTCTTTTTAGTGAATGAATCACATACAGTTTACAACTACAGTAACTCTTGAGACTAAAATGTAAATTAGGATAAGTTTTGTAAGAATTAGTTTAGATATTATTGAAATCTCATCATTTGGTAAAGTACCTGCATTTCCTTTTCTATATATTTATTCCTTAAAAATAAAAAAAAAATAAAAAAACAGAACCAGAAACTTATAATATAACAGAATACAAAATGTCTTTACCTGGTGACCACTTTTTCTCCAGCCATTGACACGAAAGGTGTTGTTTCTCCTTGTACAGTGTCTGTAGTCTCTGTCGCTCCCCGTCCACTCGATCCTGCCCTGCCGGGGCAGCAGACGTACTCCACCCCACGGAAACGGTCACCACACGGCAACAACATCCCATAACTATGCAGCTCCAGACTGTCAGCTGTGCAGGCCTGATGAGCAGAGCAAAAGATGAATGACTGTGGCAGTGCTTTAAAAACTTTGAAGTGCATTATTTCTTTTTAAAATCTTTTTGTAAGTGCGCGTACGTGTCAGGGTGAAATGACCTACAAAATTCAAATGGGAAAACTTTAAGTACCAGGAGATACTGGTGATAGTGCAGAGAGGAAATGAGAATAGAAGATCATAGATCACAGCGGGGACTGCAATTTCACACGCACCAGACTAACCATTAAAGATGTGAAGCTATTAAAGTTGAATTCCAGTTCTAATACGTTTCCAGGTTGTAATTGTGTGAGCTTTTCTTATTTACCTCTTTGGCGATGTTGTGCCAGTACACGTAGCTCTCACAAGAATCCATCTGCTCCTGGTGTAAGAAACGGCAACGATCCGGGACCAAGAGTGCCTCACTGACATACTCACCCACTGAAAGGCAGAGACAATTACATAGGGTCATAAAAAAAAAAAGACATTATTAATAAAGGATGTACACGACTGTTCAAAAGTTTGGGACCAGTAAGATTTTTTTTTTAAAGATATTAATAGTTTTACTTAGCAAAGATGCATTACATTGAACAAAGGTGACAGTAAAGATGTTGTAATGTTACAATATATATATATATATATATATATATATTTAAAATGTACAGTTGAACAATTTATTATCAAAGTATCCTGAAAAAAAAAATTGTATCACGGTTTATACACACACACAAAAAGCAGCACACAGGTTTTCTATGGAAGCTGCGGAATTAAAAAAAAAAATAATAATAATAAGAAGGTAATTGTGACTTTATCTCAAAATTCAGACTTTGTATCTGGCAATTCTGAGGAAAAAAACTCAGTATATCAAGATACAAAGTCAGAATTCTGACTTTTTTTCCTCTGAATGTTGAGTTTACATCTCATAATTCTGTTTCTGTTTTTTTCTGCCACGGAATAAAAACAAAAAAAACTAAAACACTTTTTGTTTCAAAATTCTGACTTTTCTTCTCAGAATTGCACGTTTATGTCTTACAAGTTTATATCTTGCAAAATTGCCAGATAAAAAAAGTCAAAATTGTGAGGTATAAATTGCCTTATTTCGCAATTAACGTTTTACTTTTTTTTATTGGCTTCCATAGTTTCAACTTTTAAAAATAACAATAAATAATTCTGAAGGATTTCTGAAGGATCTTGTGACACTAAAAAACGGCTGCTAAAAAATTCAGCTTCGCAACACAAGAATAAATTACATTTTAAAACATTACATTAAAAAGAGAATGACTGATTTCTATTTTACTGTATTTTTGATCAAATAAATACAAACTTGGTCAGCATGAGAGAATTCTTCCAAAAATATTGATAAATTCTTCAGACCCCAAACCTTTGAACAATAAAGTGATTATGATAATTACTGGAATATATAAATACATTCAAAGAAACTATAATGAGAAATGAGGTAGACAATACTGGCAATAAAAAAAGTAGCGTTAGCATTTTTGAAAATGCCTACGTGAGCTGATGTTGCAAATCAAAGAATATAAGAAGTGGGAACTTAAAATATATGCAGAATGTGAGCAAAAACCAAGGACAAAAGCCCCTCAGAGCCAAACAGCTGCACAAGCATTACATATTCATCAACATTAGTACTGAGCCAACAGATTTAGGATTTATTTATATATTTTTGGTTGTGATATAACATGCTTGTGAGGCACTGCAGAGTGCAATGTACAATAAAATTATGCTTAAGAAATTCATAAACAAAATGTACATTCACAAGTCATATTTATTGGAATAGGTCACCAAAGATAAAAAACTAAATGATGATTAATTGTTCTGTTTTAGCTATATAAAGCAGCTATATTAACACGATTAATTGAGCTACATATGATATTGCTTTTTAAATCTGGTCTATACTGCATTCTTGATGGGATATCTGTATTATAAAGGGTTTAGGCTGTGTTTGTGACTCACCCAGACAGCGATAGGGCACGACGATGAAGGAGCGGGTCTGACAGTGACCCCAGCCCTTCTTACACCAGCCCGGGATGGTCGCTGGAGATGAGGCCTCTTCCACATGGGAGATCTGCAGTCCTGGATACATCTGACATACGGTGAGAACGACAGACACAAACACACGTGAGGAAAGAGCAGGGGACTGGAGTCAGGATCACAACAGCTGGAAAGAGGACAGGGGAATAGTAAGTGTATCATGCAGAAAACACAAAGAACAAGGGGATGAAAAGGAGCGGGACAAAAAGAAATGAATAGCACTCCAGGATAAGGATCCATGGAAGCCATTTGGCCACAATTAGTTATTGCACAGTGAACTATTGTTGTTTCTGAAAATGTAGCTGCACATGGGAGTCTTTTAATATGACCCTACAGCTAAACCACACATGCAATTAATAACAAGCCAGATAAATACATAATGGATGCTTTTTTTTTAGCTGCTGGTTACTTTTTAATGGGAAACCTCTCATTTGACCACAAGAGGGAGTCGCGGGGTCCATCTTGCCAGCTAAGACTGCAGCACTTTAAAGTTAATAAAAGAATACATTTCTGAATGTAGCACTAGGGGGCGTCTGAAAACTCATTGCGTATTATTCCCGAATTTCCAAAGCAATTACACCTCACCTTCAAAACATGTTTGCAGGGGCACTGAGTCATACTGAGTCATCTGTACATTATTAGGATTTATTTATGATTCCAAATATAATCATAAATAAACTGAGTGTAATAAAACACAGATGGGAGGGAGTATAGGAAAAGAGGGAAAATGGATGTGTACGTATATTCAGGAATATACATGAGTGTATTGTCACATTAGGTTTGTTGTTTCGCTATATATTTTTATATATATAGATTTGACAAGACAAGGTCAGTCACACAGATATAAAAATTAGCGACTTGTAATTAATAACATATATTAATAAACCTCATAACCATTAATATTCAAAACTATTGTTTTCTTGTCTTCCAATATTCTGTCCTAAAATATACAGTATATATATATATATATATATATATATATATA